GATATTTTAGTTACAGTAAAATAAAACAACCCTATCTAGTTTAAGGAAAAAGGGGGAAATTACTTCAAAGTTACTATCAAGTTCCAGGGGTATCTTATGGACTCAATGGCTAGAATGCAAACAGTCTTCAGAAGCAGACTGGGACCTAAAAATGAATGGTTTCTTCATCAGTAATTTGGGATGAATGGTCTTTCTCTGCTCTCTATGTCTGTTTCAATGTGTTGGCTCCATTCTGATGTCTGAATAACTCCCTCTGACATTGAAACCACAAGAAAAAAGATGTTGTGTTCTCTTACCCCGTGGTCAAGAAACTGATACAGAAACTGAATGCTATTAATCACAATTTCAGATCCTCATGGGAGGAGATTCTGATGGACACAGCCTGTGTCTTATGCCCACATATCTGACTTATGGTTGTCTCACACTGAAATAACATGAGGAGAGCCTCACATAGTCATTCACCTAGAGAATATGTCATATGCAAAATAGTGATATATAATTAGGTATTAAAAACATTTGTTAATCCATTGAACAGATACTTAATAAAAACCTGTATTTTAGGCTTTGTTCTAGACACTGACTAATCAAAGTGAAAGAGGTAAAGGGGGTACCTGGATAAACTGCTCTCATGAATCACAGAAATTCAAGTGCTTTCAGACAAAACAACAAAACATATAAACAACCCTGCTAATTAGAGATGAAAATAAGGATGGAAAATCTTTAGGAACAAAAGTAATTTCTTAAGTTCGTAAAGAGAGAAGTGGATTCCAGAATAAAATTTGAGATCTTTATCCATGATGTCTCTCTAAACACATTAAAGTTTTGGGTCATTCTTAGAGGAAGGGAAATTGAACACCTCTATAAGAAGTTGCTCAGTGAACTATAGTTACATAAGTATGTCTGAGGGTTACGTAATCCACAAGATAGGTTAAAGCAAGTTTACTATTCACTCATACAATTCAAATATTATTGGGATTAATAGCATAATATAACTAGATTTCTTTTACATGGACTGTGCTTAGTGTACGTGTCAGTATCAGACAGACTATGTACTTTGGAGGGAAGCTACTAGGAGTACAAATGAACCATGATGTGGTTATCTGGAGAAGTGAGATTTTATATAAAATGGAGAGCTTTTAGCATATTTGAANTTAAGGTTAAAAGACTATAAATTCATTCTACCCACCATTTCAGCCAAATTTAAGTGCCACAGCCCCAGAGGTATAAAGAAATACTTCGCATCTGTTCAACATCCTAACAAATTCATTTTTAACTTAAATACATTTGCAACAAGGGCCTTGTTTTCTGGAAGGTGCATTCCAACTTAGGAACTTGGGGGAAAAAAAACAAACCTCTGTTAAGCAGTTTTATTTTTAATAATATTCTCTCAGAAATGTTATATAGGTTTAACATTTTACACTAATTTGACTCGATCCTAGAAAATTGTTGCTAATATCTACATATATAAGCATAAATGGTCACTAATTTATATTTATAATATATGCATATATATTTATATATTAGATTATAAATTATTCTGATATGCTTCTTATATCTATCCTTCCTTCCAATACTCCTTCAAATGTTTATTATCTACTAAATATACATCTTTTTATATGAACTACTGACTTCAGTTTGTATTTAATATTTTAATATAGAGAGAAATTTGTTAAATATTTTAATTTAATATGTCATTTAAATGATTAAGGAGAAAGTTTTAAAAATATGCTTATATTACAGCCAAGGCGAGAATATAGACATTTTATCTTTTGCTTTATCATGCAGGACTTCTGTAAAGCATTAGGCTTTTGAGTCAATGTATATTTTCAAATTAGATGGTATTTAACCTCTGAAGGAAAAAAGGTTTGCTTTTCTTTTTCAAGGCCAAGTGTAAATTACATAGCTTTTTCCAAATTCAATACAAGTTCTATGATTAGATATAGTACAAAAATCAAGTTTCAATTTAAAAGCTAGCTGTAAATACATACAAAATTGCACATGTATTATGTTTAACCATCTTAGGAACAGCTTTCAGAAATGAGCAAAGCTTTGAAAATTCCATTTAACCAAGAATGTGTGCATTGGCCCAACAGCTATGCTTAAATATTATGCTTTCTGCTTCCTTTTTAGTATTCTCCATCTCACCCAGCTAAACTTTTGTCATTTAAATACAGCAAATATATTTTACCACAAATGTTTTACATGAAATTCATACAAAAAAAGAGAAATCAAATAAAACGTTGGAATTCCCTATCTATTCTAATGCCCGCTGACTTGACCAATGTATTTCTTGAAGGTGCAGTTTCTTTGAACATAATGATGGTTAGTTCTAAGTATTTTGAATGTCGAGCATCATAGTCATTTCTTGCCATCTGTCCCAATTAGTGACATGAAAGAAAAACTTAGACTATTGTGCTCAATGAGTCATTAGTTAAAGAATACAAATACTTGATATAGGAATCTTGTTTACTTGCCTGCCATTTAATGGCGTTACGAATATACCATTTTTTTTAATTTACAAAGTTACAGAGGGAAACTTAAATTCAGACTTGCTTTCCCTTACTACGCAGTCTAATCAAAATGTGTACAGAGTGAAAACTGACATGAAGTATTAGAAAATATGGCACTTACATAATCTTTTAGGTAATATAATACATCCACATGTATTGTATTATAAGGTGGACCCAACTTATTACGCCATATGCATAGATATTTCATTTAAATGGTGTTTTCCCCTTTAATTTTTAAGGCCTCTAAAATATGACTACTTTTCTCAACCTAATTCCAATCAATTTCCCCAGCACAATCTCCCCTATACAAGTCATTCTATCGGGTATTTAATGAGCTAAAAACAATCCCAGATAGGCAGTGGTAGCTAGTGTTGACACAAGCTATTCAAGAAATCACATTGTAACCCAAAGGAATTAAAATATTTTGCNTTTGGAGTTTTTACTACACAGTTACATCTAAAAATAGTTTTGTCTCAGTGAGGCTTTCCTGTATATTTACGTTTGATTCAAGCTACTTATAATCAGTAATATATTTCTCATAACTTTTATCTTCTTTCAATTAAATTTATTGGGGTGACATTGGTTAGTAAACTTATACAGGTTTCAAGTGTACATTTCCATAACACATTATCTAAAAATTACATTGTGTGTTCAGCACCCAGTCAATTCTTCCATCACCATATATTTGACCCCCTTCTCTATCTTCTTTTATCTTCCAAGACAGACTTAATTTTAAAAGAACTACTTTGGATAGATGTGGAAAAATCATTTGTATTTCTCTTCATGATGCCTTCACTGCATGCCTCACAACTTGCATTTGTCAATCGATTTTACAATCAGGCAATGTATACAAGACAATGCTTAACCCATCAAGTTGCATTGATTTCACAAGGCTGTTTATCAAACAGAATTGAAAAATCTTTTTCACCAGCCAAAACAAGTTTAACAAAATTCAGCCCCGTTTTCCAACACTATTACAAAATCCTTAAACTATAAGCTTACAAATAGTTCAAGCTTCAAAAATCCTGAACTTACATGTGCTCCCTAGAATTTTTATTCCAACTGTCACTCCAGGAGTAAAGCTATATGTGAGGCTTTAATAAATTTACCAATTATTCTATTTGGTATGATTCCATTGCAAATGTAGCTATAGTTGCAAACATGGCTTTTTATTCTTTTTGACTTATGATGTACATCCAACAGTGAGTGAACTACATAATCCTCATTCAGTAAAAAATTAAAACTATAATTAGGATTTCGAAGCAATATAAAAAGGTTGATTACCAAAATTATTCATTTGGTTCATGGGGAAAATATATTAGAAGCAAAATGAAGAAACATTAACAATACCCATGTTAATATTAAAAATCAATTATTGCTTCCAAGCTTGTTATGGGTCTGGAAACCGGCACTACATTCATTTGCTTACACAAGAAAGACAACAAGAGGGAAAAGGCAAAAATTAAGCCAAATTTTTGCCTAAATTTCAAACAAATGCCTATATGAACTATGAATTAAGAAATTAATAATTATTTACATCTACTGTTGGCCTAGTGTCATGGAAAAATATGNTTCAGAGACAGACAGACTTGCTGGATGAAAAGTGCTACACCCTGACGGAATCTTTTATCACGCTCAGGGCAACAGTGACTGCTCTAAACTCAGGATGTCAATCACGGTGGCATCGTGACTCGTGTGCTCTCTCTGGGTGCGCCTTCGTATCTCTTATCTCCTGCCTACAGTCATGTTCCCTGCTGGCCAGAACAGCAGAGCCATCAGGGGCAAGCGAGCGGGCCTGTCTTTATGCATCGTGACACCTGTCCATTCACAAAGAAGAGAAAGAAAGAGACATCTTTACCCGTAAAAAGGAGAGGTCCCGGTTGTGCTCGATGCTGGTTATCTCCAGGTTGCCCATGACGACCTCGCAGTTCTCATAGTATTTGCGCAGGGCTCGGTACTGCTGCTCCAGGTCAGAGAGCGAGCTCAGCTTATTCTCCGTTCCAGCACACACTGTCAAGGCAAGAAGGTCAACGGGCATTATAGAATCTGTATACGATATGTGCAGTGTCCCCCTCAACTCCATACTCCACAACACTCCACCCCAATGCCTGGAAGTAAAATATTTTAAATGTCCTTAAGACCCATAACCCACTGGTAAATATCTTCACTTTTATTTTTTTCAGCTTTACTGAGATATAATTGAGATATAACACTGTGCAAATTTAAGGTATACGGCTTCTAGATTTGACATATGTTGTGAAATGATTTTCAGCGTAGTTAGCTAACACCTCCATCATGTCATATAATTACCATTTTATTTTTGTGGTGAGAACATTTAAGACTGACTCTCAGCAACTTTTAAGTATATAACATTG